GCCCAACTCTCTCAGCCTGTCTCTGGAAACACTATAGTAGTGATATAGAATAATGCTGGTAGTCACTGTCAGTCATGCAGCCAGTTTTTTCAGTGTCCTAGATATTAGGAAAGACAGGGGAAGTGTTCTGAGGTTGAATAGCAGAGCTTGTAAATGATATTGAAAATAAAAATAAAATGGTATATAAAAATACTTGCCCAATTAAGGGTAGCTTGGAGTATAATTTGCAATTTTTTCCATGGTTCTGTTTTGTCCCATAAACCAGATGTAAAAGTTGTTCTCTGTGGGATTGTAAGGATTGAGTTTCCAGAATGTTTTGGAATATTGTCAGCCTTTCGATGCTGAAGCTGGAGGAAACGTCAGAAACCAAGTTTCTGAAGTAGTTTCCTGGCTGTCATTCCTGCACCCCCTTCCAAGTCTGCTGGCAACTTTTCTACGAGTGGCCAGTTTCACTCAGCCTTTGTAGATAGAGAGCAGCCTCAGAAATACCGAAACAGCTGCAAGTTTTTTGAAAGTAATGGTGTCCTCTTTGAGGGTACTCTTCAGCACTAACAGTCTGTGGATACAAGGGAGTTCATATCACCAGAAGTTAGAAGGGCTGAGTAGATGAAGGATTCGTCTAGAATATGCATTTTCCTTAGATGCATAGTTTTCCAGCCTAAGAATGTATGAAGGTGTATTAGGGAATTCTCCTGTGTTACCTTAAGGTATTTTTTGCAGCAGTCTGTAAAATAATATTTTTTTTTGTAGTTTTTGTTGTTGGGGGAGAAAAAGAAAAAGGAAGGTCTGGCTAGCCTTTGGTCACAGCTGGTTTTGTGTCAGTTTTTAAAACTTTGGGCATGCACATATTTTCCAAGATAACCATATCCACTGAGTCTGCTTCAATAACCTACTTATGTAGCTTTTTTCTTTTCCTTGTATGTGAAAAACTGGTATTTTTTGTCCAGGAGTATTTCTTCATTTAGTTATTGTTGCAGCTGATGTTTATTGTGGATGTGCTTTTTTTCAGTCAAAATTCTTTAAACAGATTAACTTTAGTCATATGATAGGGCAGGAGTCAGAGAAGTAGCTTATACAGAGTCAGTGTTCTTGGAGTGTTGTCTTTTATGTGTTGTTGGGGGCCACCTCCTTCTATGACGTGGAAAAGAAGGCTGTTAAGAAGGTCTCGTGTTTGTCTGATGTCTCAGGTTTCTGGAGCTAGGACTTTTTTTGCTGCGTGTCCTTTGCTGGGTCAGCCTTTAGTTGTGCCAGCAGGTAGTAGGCCCCTGTGTTGATTCTCTGCTGACTACAAGTATTCATATTTCAACGTCAGGGCTCCCTAAGCCCATCTCTGTGGTGCAGATCCCTGTAGACTATCAGCATGCTTCCACTGTTGAAGTGGCACGTTGGCCTTTTCCTCATGAACTTTGTCTCCCAACATCAGACAGGCACATTGTAAAAATGTCTCTTTTCCTCTCTGTAAAAACTCATGAAAAAGCTTTTAGAGTTGCACATGGATGGTTTGGAAACAAGGTTGAAATTAAATAGTAGGGCACAGTTTGACTCTGTACTTAAAAACGTGTTCTCTTGTAGCCTTGTTTCTCGCTGAGACATGACATTCATGTGGTTTTAGCTAGCTGGGACCCTGTTTTTGGGAGTGACGGTGTCACAGGCGGTCTTCCTGATCTTAGAGATTAATCCTCTATTTCTGTCTCTAAATACATGAGGCTTGACCTTATGCTCACTTTTTGAGGCAAATGCTTTGTACCGTCATTGCATTTCATCTTTTCTCTTTATTCTTTTCTTTACCTGTCTTCATCTTCCACTCACAGATCTTAAACCTTTTACATCATAAAAAGTATTTAATTGTGCATGTGTTTCACTAAGCCTATGGCTTCCTGTATGGATGCAGCTTTTGATGGAGACCACACACAGTGTTTTTAGACACAGTATTGGAGCAGCTGGCAGACTAAAGAATAAGGTGCTTTGCCCAGACACAGGCCTTCAGGGAGCACTCTGCATGTCTGCTATCAGCTGTTCAAGTTCCTGAGTTGCCGTTGTATTGGTCTGGAAAGCACTTCCAGTGTGTAAAGCTTTCAGCTCTCTGCGTACAAATACCATTGTGCCTTAGGGTTATTTTTATCATTTGGGGGAACCTTGTAACAAAATAGCGTCTGTGAAGCTGATTCATGTATTGTGCTCACCATAGATACCTTTCTCTTTCAGAAGACTGCAAAATGGACATTGATAATAAACGAAACAAAAAAACTCTACTAGACCAGCATGGACAGTACCCAATATGGATGAATTCCAGGCAGAGAAAGAAGCTTAAGGCTCAGCGTGTTAAAGGGAAAAAAAAGGCAAAATTGGCCAAAGGCCTCGTCTGGTAAAATTGGAGTTTTGTATGATCGTGACTATTTTACTTGCAAAATAAATAACCCAAATAAGTACACAATATTTTTGTACTTGGCCACAAGTATAATTTGTTGTGTTGCATGAATTTTTGAAGAGACTGTGAAGCCAACAAATGATGAAAGCAGTTATCAACTTGGTGTCTGCTGAACTAAAAAAAAAAACCCACACAAAAAGTGAGCTGAGTGCCTTTGAATAGACTAAGTGTCTGGTTATCAGGGGGGAGGGTCTTCATCTTTTATATTGTAACCGCTGAAAATGCTAAAGGAAATCCTAAAAATAATGAAACTGTACATGGTTTTTCTACTGTGCTCTTTGTCAGTGTAACTTGCCTTTTAGTAAATTTAACCAAAGGATTCTGTAAACTCACTGTATCCCTCAAATTATTCTGTAAAATTACTTTTGTTGCACCGATTTGTGTTGCTTTTAACATCTGGTAATTAATCAAAACAGGCTTTTAATGTGTACATTAAAAGAGTTTATACACTAAAATCGACACCAAGGCTTCGTTAAACTTCTGTAAGTAAAACGACATGAAGTGTCGGTCTAATTTTAACTCAAAAAGAGAAAACTGTGGGAACCAAGTATTTCACTGCTGTCTGCAACTGAAATGTTGTAGGAACGAAATAATTGAAAGCAAAACTGGTTATTATTAAGATGAGAGGATGCAAATGTACAGATTGGAAATAAAATAGTTTTATTGAAGACCTTTTCCGAGTTTTAGTGAAGTAAGTGAGAATTTACTTCCGCATATGCATTTTCAGTAGCCTTTTATTCCCCTTAAAATGGTATTCACCCATCATGTTTAGCGATGTGGGCATAGGGTAAAATGCTGCATGACTGCGTAACAGATGCCGTTTGTGTGTGATTAGCTACAGTTGGTTGCATGTTACTCGGCAATAACGTGTGGTGACAGATGCAAGAATTAGTTGTCCTGAAAGCTTATGTTTTTAAATGTCTCTCATTTCAAGGGTGGAAATAATTACAGTACCAGTCCTGCGGTATGTTGCTTGTTGAGGTACCGGGTAACCTCTGTCCAGCTTCATCCAAGACGGGATCCACGTTCTGAGATTGCCCACAAATTGTGCTGTCTGTCTGTTGTGATAATTTGGGCATAGGAAATAGGATTTATTCTTTTAAAAGTAATCCCACAAGTTTACACTGTGCTGAAGTCCACTAAGAACACAACCTGATAGAAATTTTATTTTTTGTGGAAAAATATATTCTTTTTTATTATTATTTTTAGGGGAAGAGTAACTCCATTGCTCAGGTAAAGAGCTGCAAAGGTGTTGGAGGAAATAACCAGTGCATCTGCTGTTTTCACATATATTGACAGTTGATGGGACTTGGTAAGAGGGATAGGTCAAAATTTACCAAACTATGTCATTATTAATAACTTTGAACTTTAAAAATATTTCCATTCAGTTGATAATCCCCCTGCTAAAAAAGATGCTGCTCTTAATTTTTTTTGTTTGTTTTGTAGGTAAATGGGTCTAGATTTCAGTATCACGTGTTAACATTTAGGTTAATACTACTTTAAAATTACTAACATGGAGCAAAGTGCTCTTTAAGGTGCATAATTATGTTTATCCAGAACTGGAATGGAATGAGCAGACAGTTTGTATTTCTGTCCTGTTTCAATGACATAGGCTGCATTTTTCTTAATGTGTGCTCTGGGGGGTTGTGGAGGGGGAGCTTGGTGGGTTTAAATGTTAACGATTTGGTTTCTTCTGTAGGGTAAGCACAGTGCTGGTTTTGACATGCTTGTTTGTAAATCAGATTACTTTCAAGTAGCTCCTGGTGGGAAGCAGACTGCTTTCACTGAGGGGGGGGGATAATCAAACCTGCAAAGTACTTCCATTTAAGTGTAGGGCTTCAGAGTCCGTGTGTTTTCATTCTTCAGGCGCAGCCATACGCCATCGGGGCTGCCACTGCTGTTCTTGCCTTACCCTCTCCTCTCTCTGGAGTTCCCGTTCTGCCTCTGCTCCTTTCTCTGTCGGAGAAAATGATCTGCACAACTGAGTACTCTTTCTTATTTCTGCTTTTATGACCTAGCCCTGAGCTTTGTTGCACGCATTTATTAGTCTGCTGCTTTGGTGACTAGATTAGGGATTTGCATCTCAAATAAGAGACAGCAGGCAGTTGCTTCCTACCAGCTGAAACAATATGGGCTGTGTGAGATACTTCCTTCATGGTGTCCAGGATAAAGCCAAACTGGTTCACTTAAACTGCAGGTATTTTAAGACATCCTGTTTGATTTTTGAGGTGAAACGGAGGATGAGAAAGGAGTAAGCCTCCGTCTTTACTGGAAGGCAGCTTTCAGCCGGGTGCCGCTGTACTGTGTACAACATCGCAGCTCACCGGGGTGAGGCAGAGCTCACCCTGGGCCGGGAAGGATTTTGAGGGCCTGGTTGGGTGGAAGCTGAAGGCTCGCCCACCGACAGGCAGCAGGAACCTGGCTCAAGGTGCAGCACGGATGTAACGTCAGGGGTTGAGTCACAGATGCAGCAGGGAAATTTCACACCTAGGCTTTCAGTATGTACTATATACGGATATTGTGATTCTGTATTTGCTTTAGGTCTGCTTTGAGGAGCTAATTTTGAACGTGAATCCCACCTTTGTAGTCACTGAATATTCTGTTTACATTGCTGACCCTCAACCACGTTCTGTGTGATCAGTCGGAAAAAAACTATTCTTGTTTCTTTACAATAGCAGGTGAATTTCAACATGCTGGATTTTGGCTGAAATACATATTTTAAAAACCCGTAGAGGGATTTGCAAAGACATAAGCTACCTGCCTCTAAATGACGTTCTAAATGTATCAGATCTTGTTGATCTTTATCTAAAAGAAATTTTTTAAGAGCATTGGAGGAGAAAAGTTTGCAGTTGCCTACACAAGCTGACAGAGATCTAAAACTGTGTAACAAAAGTGGTGTTGGCAGGGGTGGGGTTTTTTCGAGTGTGTAACCGCTATTGTGAAACTGTTGTTGAAACTTCCTTCCGCTGCAGCTCTGCCACCTACTTGCACAGTGCTGCAGTAGCTGAATTTCACGGGCCTAGGGAAGGTGGGGGAAATAGTGTAGGCAGGTTTGAACTACAAGCATAAATTATAGAACTGAATGAAGGAAATGTTGTCATTTTACTGAAATGTTTATGTGTATAAAGTGTGTGTGTACAGTATAAAATCTGCATTGGCAATCTGCGGGCTGTTGGCAGCTTCCTGAGCAGATGACAGCACCTGCCTTTTTTGACACCAGAGGTAGTGCAGTTCCTGGGCTTTTCTGGTAACTCCTGCCTGCTCTGGGACAACTTTTCTGCACTGTGTAGTCAGGTGGGTTGGGGAGCTAATCTGGCTGAGAGATGCTGAAAATACCCCTTTTCTTTCCCCGTGGTGGTGGTGGTTTTTTTTTCATCTGGATCAGATTCCAGCCTTACTCTGCAGAAAGTGTGGTCAGTAGGAGGCAATACAAGACTGGGAACAAATAGCTGGTGAAGGCAGGGCTGTGTGAGACAGTCCTGTTGCTGAAGCATGGCATGCTGAGGCATATTCTCATGTGCCACCTTTTCTCCTGTGTCACTAACAGATCTTAATGCAGTCACCCTGCAGCTTGGTGCTTTGAAGCTAGAGAGATGTTCTGCAGATTCGGACAAGCAAATGCACTGAATAGTGGTTTTGAAATTTCTGTTCAGGGGAGGGTAGTATTAAAATAATCAAGGTTAATGTTTTTTTCTTACTGTCCCTGTTGTAACACTCGGGCAACGTGGGCTCCAGCGGTGCGCGTAGTCGGCTGCGAGCTTTTCCAGATTCAGTTTGCTTTATCTGCAGCTGATGCTGTGGTTATAGAGTAGACTAAATCTGGCTTGGGGGTGTCCAATGCTGAGGGAAGAATGTCATGGCCACACGATGTAAAGTGCTTCTCTGATACATGGTCACAACCTTTTTTTTTTTTTTTTTTAAAAAAAAAGTAGCTGTCCTTTATCTATACAAAGGCTTTGTACTATCTCTTTCTAGTATGCTGCCTTTTCCTCCTGCAGCCTAAAGCGTCGCTTGGGTTCTACTGAAATTGATGGAAGCTGGTTGTCTGATCTGTAGATTTGTAGTCTGAATTTGTCTGGCATTAAAGTTTAGAGGACTACAGCCATAGCACTGCAGAAATCTGAGAGGCACAAAGTAATCTGTTCCTCTGGGTGGCATCGTCTCAATTGAGTTATGGCAGTTGTGGGGATGATTAGAGTCTGAAACAACAGCTATGAATTGCTCTCTTCAGGCCAGGGTTTTGCTGTCAACCTAAGGGTGAGGTTTCAGGAGGTGCCTGAGCCATCTGATAGCTCACTGCTGCAGGAAGAGGCTCTTCATTTCAACTTTTCCCCCTCTTCTCCAGCTGCACTGCCCAGTTCATGATTTACTGCTTCAGGAGAGAGAGACATTGGGATTTCTTTTTTTTTTTCTTTTTTTTTCTTTTTCCCTGAGCTAAAAGAGAGAACCGACAACTTTCTTCTCTTTAAGAACCACTGCACAGTTGTGACTAGCCACCCATGCCCACTGTCCTTTTATTCTTCCTACACTACTTCAGGGTTCTGATTTCAACTTTCCCTTACCAATAGCAATAGTCCTCAAAGGAAGAGACAAGGCAGAATGGGAAAAGGGTGATTTTTCACTTCCTCCTCACCCTCTTCCCAATCACTTCAACATCACTCTTGCAGGTTTCTAATTTTTCTGGTGCACATATATCAAAATAAAAGGTCTGGAATGTTAGAAAAGGTGCATGGTATGGCGCAGAGGTTTGTGTGCCAAAGGTCCTGCGCAAGGTAACATGAGGACAGTTTATCAAGAGCTTGTACATGGAAAGCAAACAACCTCTGACTTGTTTTCTTCTGATTTCAATCTAGTCAACTATTGAAGGTTATGAGTTATATTCTGGTTTGGTAAATTATTTAGGATCTTTCCTCTCTAACTGCAGTTAAATTTCTTCCAAGG